GATGAGTGCAGAGAGCCCTGTGGGGACTGTGAGGGTATGAGAGAAGGAAGGACAGGGCTGCAGACTCTGAAAGGCACCTCTGGACCCAACCTGCAGTGATGCCCAAGGCCATCTTCAGAAGCCGCACAAAGGTCAGGTGGTACTTCTTCAAACTAGTGTGTATCTTTTCTTTCTTTCATCTATCTATCTATCATCTATCTATCTATCTATCTATCTATCTATCTATCTATCTATCTATCTATCTATCGTCTATCTTTCTTGAAACCGGATCTCTCTAAGAAGTTCTGACTGGCCTTGAACTCACTATGTAGATCAGGCTGACCTTGAACTCACAGAGACCAGCCTGCCTCTGCCTCCCACATATAACTTGTATCTTTTTGTTTATTCTTTTTTGCAGTCCTAGAGATCAAATCCAGGGCCTCACACGGCAGTGTAAATGCTTTACCCCTGAGCCACATCCTCAAACCTTTTTTCCATCTTCATGGTCAAAGAAGTATCTGATGGCAGCTCTTTTTCCTCATACTAGCAGTTCTGCGAGATCAGGGAGCATCCTGAAGGCAAGGCGCTTGCCCCACTTCAGTCAGGGAGCCTTTCCTCACAAACAGACCAACTCTCCAAAGCCTTTCAAAGTCTTCAGATCCAGCCCGCCCATACTGAGGAGGGAGACCCAGGCCCAGCCTTGCCCCCAAAGGTGCTCTTGCCTGATGAACCCCTCAGTTCTAATTCTGTCCCTTCGGAATCACATCTTCTCCCCCACACTGTTGATTCTCCCTCAAGCTGTCTTTGTCTTGTATTTCCCATGTCCAGGAAGATTATAAATATTTACTGTTTCCTCCCCTGGCTACCCCTAATCCCCATTCTGACAGATAATGTCTCCCTGTGACTGAAGCCAGCTTGGGGTGCCTTCCAGAGGTTATCTCACCCAGCCTTCATCTCTAGACTAGCACAGGCAAAAGCTGCTATAGCACATGATTGTCCTCCACCATGGCTCAGTACACATGGCTGGTATATGGTAAATGTTGGACCAAATTGTTCTTTTCTCTCCGGCCATTCTCATCCTCAGTCTATAGGTGAAACCCGCATTCTTCTGGAAAGATGGCACTAGAACTGAGTTACTGCCTCATTCTAGATATGAGGGCAGCACAGAATGAAAAGGCAGGGCTGCCTGACTGGTATTGGGAGACACAGCATGAGGAAAGGAAGAATTCTTGACACATCACCATGATAGTCCTAACAGGCGACATGGGCCCAGGATCACCCAGTTCTGCAGGGATCAACCACCTGCCTTGCAGGAAAAGCTGGGGAAGACGAAGTGAATGGGTCCATGGGCCCAGGAAAAGGGAAGACTTTCAAGGCTTTTGTGGGCTGTGACTGGATAGAGCTCCTTTGGACAAAGGGAAAACGTAAAATGGAGCTCGGCGTAGGGCAGGTCTTAGCCTTGATCGGGTCTTCTGTGGGCCCCTGGGAGAATCCGGAGACAGCATTTTTATTATTTTCTCCCCTTTTCTCTGCGGTCTATTTCAAGACTGTTCCTCTTGTCCAAGGCCGCGTGTTGCAACCTCTTGCGTGCTTAGGTTTCCAATCTCCAGCTGACGAGCCCCAGGCCCTGGGGACGCTGCTTGCCTCGCCGAGCCTTACCATGCATCGGGAAGTTGGATCTCGGCCCCGGGTTTGGCCACCGCTGCACCCTTTCTGTGTCCCACTTTTCTTCTGCCTGTTTGTATTCAGTCTAGACGATTCGTTTTTATTTGTTGGTGTCCTGCCCTAGCCCGGGGCGGCTGTGGTGGGGTGGGAAGAGCACTGGAATTGGAGTCGAGAAAGCTGGCTTAAATTCTCACCAGGCTGTTTACCAGCTGTGTGAAAATTCAGGCCAATTATTTACCTTTTCTGGGCCTCCAGCATCTCCTCTGCTAAGCAATAGTAACAAGCCCCAATCGCTAGGGTGATTAACAGGAGACAAGAGCTGGCATCAGGGGCGGGGTCTCAGCTCCCAGCCCCCACTGCTCTGGTCAGAACCCCACCTATTCATCAAGTCCCCACCAACCTCTCCTGGCATCTCTGCAGATGTACCACTGCCACTGTCTCAGAATGAAGTTGTCTGTCTTCAGGCTCCAGTTCAAAGCTCTGTGTGTGTGTGTGTGTGTGTGTGTGTGTGTGTGTGTGTGTGTGTGTAGGGACAAGCAAAGATAAGAGTGAATTTTAGAGCTACACAGTCCAAAGTGGTAGCCCCAAGCTAGGTATGTATGTATATCAGATGTGGCCACTTAAGATGTAGCCACTACCAATTTTAATATGTGATAAGTATAAAATACATACTGGGGCAGCCAGGTGTGGTGGCGCACGCCTTTAATCCCAGCACTTGGGAGGCAGAGGCAGGTGGATCTCTGTGAATTCAAGGCCAGCCTGGTCTACATAGTGAGTTCCAGGACAGCCAAAGCTACATAGTGAGACTATGTAGTTGTCTTGAAAAACAAAAACAAAACAAACAAATAAACAAAAAATGCATACCAAGGCCAAGTGTGGTGGCACATGACTTTTATCCCACCACTCAAGGAGGCAGAGGGAGTCAAATCTCTGTGAATTCAAATACAGCCTGATTTACATACTGAGTTCCAGGCTAGCTGGAGCTAGAGTGAGACTTTGTCTCAAAAATAGATAGATAGATAGATAGATAGATAGATAGATAGATAGATAGATAGATAGATAGACTTACAGATAATTGATACCCCCAAAATATAGACAACTCTCTCACTAATAATTTTCATTTTGACTAAATGTTTAGATGATATTTCACATATATACTGGTAAATAAAGCCTAATATAAGTATGAATTTTACCTGTTTCTTTTAAAAATCTGACTTCTGAAAAAATTTAAAATGTACAGACTAGAAATATAACTCATGCTTAGAACTCATGAAGCTCTGGCCTTTGATTTCCCAGCACCGGATCAAAACAACAAATAAATTACATGTGACCCATATATTATTTTTATTGGCCGGCACTGTTGTTGACTAAGCCAAAAGGTAGCAGGGAAAGGGGTCCTGGAAAGGAGGTGGGGAGCCAGGCTTGGTGGCGCACACCTTTACTCCCAGCACTCGGGATGCTGAGGCAGGCAGATCTCTGTGAGTTCGAGGCCAGCCTGATCTCCAAAGAGAGTTCCAGGACAGCCAGGACTACACAGAGAAACCCTGTCTCGAAAGGAGGAGGAGGAGGAAGAGGAGGAAGAGGGGAGGTGAGAGGGCTCAATAAATAAAATGCTTGCCCCACAAGTTCAAGGACCTAAGCTCGGTCCCCAGCACAGAGAGAGGCATGCACCCAGCCAGCCAGTCTAGTGAAATCAGTGAGTTTCAGGTTCAGTGAGAGACCCTGTCTCAAAAACAAGGTGGAGAGCAATTAAGGCAGACACCCAACGCCGACCTCTGGCCTCCCCGTGCACGTGCACACACAATACAAAACAGAAGAGTCCGGAGGCAGAGCGGGTTCGGTTGTAAGTGCGAGGTCAAAAGATGCCTCACTGAAAAGTGAGTCAGACTTGAAGGTTTGAAATCAAACATATCCTATGTGGGCTAGGGTGTGCCAAACAGAGGGGACAGCCTCTGCAAAGGCCACAAGAAAAGAACTTGAGGAATAGAAAAGTGGGAGCCGCATACTCAAGATGAGTGAGAATCTAGTGAGTCATTGAAAGGCAGGGACAGCTGGGGAGTGCAGGGCCCTTTTTCTCTGGGTAAAATGGAGTCTCTTCAGAGTTTTGAGCCAAAAAATGTTATGATCTGGCTCCTCCTTTACCAGGCTCGCTCCGGCTGCTCTGAGAGAACCAGCCCAAGGGAGGCCAGAGAAGAATCTGAGAGGCCGATTTCCAGGTGGATACAAGATCACCTACCTCACTGGGCCTCCCCCAGACATCAACCCACATGGGGTGATTGGGCAAGGACGGGCACTAAGCCGAAGCTTCCAGAAGGCAAGACCTTGGCTCCAGTCCTCCCTGCATAGTGCATGCCCTGGCTGCTTTCCACGCCACCCCATCATACTCAGGCGTCCTCCCCCACTGTTGCCGGGCACCTTGGTAAAAACATCTGGAATCAAGATGCCCATTTGCATCCCCTGCTGCTCTTTCTGATACAAGCACTTGGGTTTTGTGGCAGCCCCCACTCCCTGCTGGAGTACCACCTCCAGACCTTTGCTCAACCCTTCCGCCTAGGGTTCAACACCCACTCAGACCCATCTCCAATATGCCTTTCATCCATCCTTTAAGAGGTGTCCGCAGGCTATGTCATGGGAAAGCACCTGCCCCAGGATCCCCCAACCCCAGCTAGAAGCCCCTGGCAATGTCGATGTGTTTTCTTACTTGTGGGAACACAACTCTTTATCTCCCACCACTCACCCTCCACTGATCTTTTTGCTGGTGTATCTTACACACAAGAGTGCCCTAGGGTGTACCACAGCAGCCAACCCTGTGTGTACCCAGTCCTATTTGCAATTTGAAGGAGTAAGGTGCTAGAAGCAGACTGAGACACAGTGTCACTGTGTCAAAGACCCAAGCAGGGTCCACCTTGCCCGGGACTAGGGCAGGACAAGAAGGCTGGCCTGGGGACAACAGACGGGTAGCAACAGACTATTGGACTCCTACACTTAGTACACACAAGTAAACTGCACCCTGGAGTCACAGCCCCTCCCCCCTCCAAGCTGGACCCACTTCCCTCTCCTGGCCAGCTGCAGCCAACAGCTCTCTCCAGTCTCCAGGGAGCAGCTGGGGACATGGCCTGGTCCTTGTCTGACAAGGAGGCTAGATGAGTTCTGCACAGGGCGAGGATCCTTTGCTAAGAAGCCCATCCACCCATCCTCAATACTCTTTGTATTGAGCCAGGAATGGATGGGTCACCCCATGTACCCTACCCCGGGGACCGTTTCCCAGACCTAAGACAAATGCCATGCTCCCAAAGGAGGAGGGAAGGTGGGACAGAAGGACCCAAGAGAAGGAGAGACCAAGGAGAGCTTTGAGATCAGAATTCAATTCTTTAATACAAAATGCTTTTTTTTTTTAAGATATATCTGTATTTCTTTGTTGCTGTTTAAAAATAAATATGTACTACGGAATATCTCGGAAAACTGCACTAGAGACAAAGACGTGATGTTAATATCTTTTCCCCCACAATTATTACGGATAAACAGTAGCACCAATAAATAAATGATAACAAATATTAAAATTAAAAAAGGAGAGAGATTTAGTATGTAGAATTCTCTATTTTTTCTTGTTTTGTTTTTACATATAAAAAACAGAATAGCAATGTCTATTTTATCAGAATCACATATATACATAAACATATATATATATATATTTATATACAAACACAAGTTACCAAATATATATATAGTATGTAAATGTATATTGAAACCTTATTTCAAAGGAATGTGTGGAGGGGACCAGGGAAGGGCAGAGCTGAGTGTTAGCAAAATTAAATCTCTTCTCAGGACAAGCTAGTGACTGTCACCGATCCGGGAGAGAGAGATTGGAAACACAGATTTCATACACACACACAAAAAGTACAAATAAAGAGAGAGCGAGAGGTACATCTCATAAATAGTTGAAATTAAATATTAACCAAGAATACTGAAAAAAAAACCCTACTCTTTAATTAAATTAACTGTTTTTAATTTCTAATTAAAAAGGACTATTAAATAAGTACCGTATATAAAACACTTTCTCTTTTCTCTGCCTCCGTGAGGGGCTTGCGGGTCCTGCCCCACTGCTCTGTGCCTCGGGAAGGGATGGGGTGGGGGAGGGTTAGCCACTCACACACGGCCAAGTCTCCTGGGGACAGAACTAGTGGTTTCAATGGTCTGAGCACACAAGGTTCCCCTGGGCTGTACCCAGGAAGTGGGGTAGGGAGAGAAAAAGGGGTTCCCAGGAGGAGGAGCCTCGCCAGGCCTCTTCTTCCACCAACATTTTCTCTTAGCCAGGACACCTGTGGGGGGCCTCCTGGGCACCTCGGAGGAGAGAGCTGCAGGCTGGCCAGGCTCCTGATTCTTCCAGGCAGTGCCCAGAGGGCAGCATGTAGCGGGATCCACGAAGCAGGCCACGTCCTGAGGCTCCCAGACTCCTGTTGGGACCAGCGTCTTTGTCTCTTTTTCTGCCATCTTTCTGTCCTCTTGACTCGGGGCCAGGGATGGGTTTGTCGTGTTTCTGGAAGTGAGCCAGTGTGCCCCCGTGCCCTGGCCTCGCACGTTCCCTGGCAGGCAAAAGGACGAAAGACCACACCACAGTCTTTCATCCCACTGTCTCCCCTATCAGGATCCGAGTGGGGACATTCTCGTCCCAACTCAAGTCCACAGCAGTCAGACACATCCAGTGAGGACACCAATAACATTAGCAAAGTTAATTTAAAAAAAGAATATATATATTTTATATATATAAAAACATATATATTTATTTATATATATATAATATATATATATGTGTGTGTATGTGGGTGGGTGTGTCTACAGGAATCCCAGAAATAAACTCCCTAATCTTCCGGGCTTGGTGATTTAGCAGCAAGTAAAAGAAAATGTCGAATCCAGTTCCACAAGGGACCGTGCTTGGTCACCTGCCCGGGAATGCTTCTGCCGGAGTCTTGCCCTCCGGACCCAAAGTGCTCCTCGAAGAGTCTCCTCTTCCTTCATGTCAGGCTTTCTGGATTAAGGACTGTTCTGTCAATGGTGACGATGATGGTGTGGTGGTGACATGGTTAATCGGTCTTTCTGGTGAGAGGTCTGGTTCCCGAAACCCTGAGGGAGGCTCCTTCCTGCAGCCTGGCTCACCGCCGCGGCTTGTCACATCTGTGGGGAGTGGCAAAGACAGGCAGGGGGTTAGGGCCACAGGAGCCTGGCAGTGAGGCGAGCAGCCTCCCCAGGCCTGGGAGACCCTGGGTCCCTGTAGGCTGGCACTACGGGAGCGGGGTTCTCCGAGGCGCAGGCGAGACAGAGTCCCGGTGGGGAGGGAGAGAGAGACCCAGCCCTGCCTGCTAAGGATGGCGAGCTAGGAAGACCGGACAGACATGGAAACACTTGCAAAGCAACACGTGAGCAGTACAAGGCCAGCCCCCATGTGACATTCCACAGCGGATGGGTGACACGATCAGAGGTAGTTAGCTGGGAGAGGGTCTCTGCAGAGGGGTTTTCAGTTCTGGCTCCTAGGGGGCGGGTTTAGAAGAGTAGACAGTGGACAGGAAAAATACCTTGAGCTAGGCCAATGACAGAGGACCGCTCTGGGGATGTGTTCTGCCCAAGGGCAGACAAGTCCTGGAGCTTCAGGAAGGCAGGAAAACATCTAGGCCCCCCACACCTCTCTCGGCCTTAGCTTCCACCTTGAGCTGCCTGGCAGCTGCAGGCCCAGGCATGGGGCCGCCTGTCTTTACCACATGTCTAGCTTAGGCTGGGCTCAGACAACTTAGTGGCTTTGCTCCTCTGACTGAAGCAGAGGGGGTTTCTCCTCATGCTCCTGCCCCTGGCTGGGTGCCCCGAGGACAGCCTGTCAACACGGGTCCCACCTAGTCTTGGAAATGCAGTTCCCAGACACAGGCAGTAGTGGACTGGGTCAGGTCTCCAGAAGTCAGCTCAATTAGCTCCGCAGCTCACTCCAGAAACCTTACAATGCCAAGGTCTTTATCTTCCTTAAAACCCTGTGGGGAGCTGAGCCCTGCTCCCCATCCCTGTTGTTTGGAAAAGTCCCTACCACAATATTGACACACTCAGGGTTCTTACAGTGTTTCACAGGAACAACTCCACACCAGCACCCGAGGCCAGCTCCCTCATGTCTTTTGAACACCCACAAGACACAAGAATGCAGGCAGGGAGGGGGGCACACCCCTAAGAACCCTTGCACTACTTGGGAGCCTGGTCCTCTCTGGGGTCATCCCTTTAAAAGCTCTCTTCCTGGGTGATGCTCATACCCAGGACAGGACATATTGAGATAAACACCTGTCTAGATATCAAGACTATGAGCTGCCAGCCACAGCCCTGTGCTCTTGACCTCCCCACTGAATGTGGTCATATACAACATTCACTCATGAGCTTGACATTTTCCTTGGTTCACAAGGGCAAAGGACAGAAGTACAGACACCTGGGTATCCCAAAGTGTTACGAACCAGGCCCAGGCTTAAGGTGCTCACAGAGTCCTCTCAGGGAAGGGGGCCTGACCCTTTCCTGCAACCACCCTGGAAGCATTTTTGAAATGCGTGGGCTGTTCAGGATTGTCCCTCTTGACCATGACTGATGCAGGACCAAGTTATCTAGCATCCTCAGATGTATGTAGAGAGAATTTCCCATCCTAAACCAACCGCAGAGCCCCACTTTCAGAGAGGCCTGGTCTGAGGTGGACACAGCCTGTCGTCACAAAGTCCTAGTCTGAGGTGACCACGGCCTGTCCTCAAGGTCTCCCACTCCGGGAGAGACAACCTGTCTTCAAGAAGCCATAGTCTGAAGGGGGGCACACACGGCAGGAGCTCAGGCTCCATGCCCAGGAAAAAAACACCGGGTGGTGAGAGGCCCGGCTGCCAGGCTCTCGGGGGCAGAGGTGCAGCCAGGGAATGCTATTAGACATCCCACAGCTGAAAGGACTTTCAGATTTCAGCATGTGCACCGAGGGGAGAATTAACAACATCAGCACCGACAGCCTTCACAAGCAGCAGGACCGCAGGCCACAACACACAGCTTGCGTCCACACCATCACATTACGCCACAGCAGCCTGCCCGCTCAGGCAACCAGGGCCATCGTCTCAGAGCAGGCCTGCCAGGCAAGACTGGAGCCCGAGGCCCCACACAGCCTCAGGAGCAGAGAAGGTAGCAGTCACCACACAGGCAGCTAGAAGCTGAGCAAGCGGCTGGCCCCTCACAAGCGTGCTCTCTCTCTCTCTCTCTCCCATGTCTGTGACGCCCCTCTCTGACTCTCTCGCTTGCCCTCTGGAAACCAACCTGCAAGTACGTTCGTTTAACTCAAGCTGCCTCGCCTTGCAACGCGAGTCTGTGTTTTTGCAGGAACATTTACACGTCTGCGGATCTTGGACAAACAAATGCTTTCTCCGCTCTGAGCAAGGCTCACAGTGACTGCAAAAAGGCAAAAGGAAAGACATCTAAGCTAGAGCATCAGCAGAGAGAGGGAGAAAAAAAAACCCATGCGACACCCCCTAACGTGGCCACCACGGCTTCCCCGCCCAGCTCGCTGGCCCCTAGGCCCTTTCCACATCCGGGAAAGATCGGAGCGCTCTAGCAGAAGACAGGGAGAGTGGCAGAAAGACGCGGCACTGGCAGAGCATCTGCCTACAGAAAGAGGAGGGCACAGGCGGGCAGAGTGCGGGGAGAAGGCTGCCGTAAGGGGCCTATCTCAGGCCCTAACTGCTGCTGTTCCCAGAACATGTCTTGACTCTTTACCTGCTGGGGACAGTGATGAGTGGCCCATGAGACCACCAGAGGCACCTTCTCCCTGGAAAAGGACCTCTGCCCAGACCCTCCACCAAGGGAGAGGGCCAGCAGAAGGCAAGCCAAATCCAGGAGCACTGTCCACCAGCAAGGCCTCCAGAGCCAGCACAGCCTGCAACCCGGAGGAAGTGGCCACCCTCGAAGACCTCAGTGGGTGACCTCGGTGGGACTGGAATAGAGGGCTTTTCCCTCCTGGAGCCTCAATTTCGTGGTGTCAGAGCACTTCCAACAGATGAGAAGAGCGGCCACACAGTGCCTGGCCCACCAGGCTTATCCTCAGACCACCGTCATCCACTTCCCAACCATCATGCCCGTAACTCACTCCACATCTGCCCTCCACACCACCCTAACCCTCCAGACGTGTGCAGGAGCCTAGAGCAGTGGAAACCAGTTGGGTGAGAGGGCCCCAATGCCCAGCACCCATGCCAACAATGGCCCCACCACCAATGCCCAGTGAGTGAGAGAAAGTCGGTGCCCAGCCAAGCCAGAGTCCCCTCCCTGAGTGCTCCAGACCTACTCACCTTCCACCCACCTCATCCCAACCCTGGTCCAGCAATGCCACCACCAAGTCTACCCGCTGGTGTCATTAGTGGAGTGAGTGAGAGAGAGAGAGAGAGAGGGAGAGGGAGAGGGAGGGAGACTGAGGCGAGCGGGAGGCCAGGGCAAGAGCCAGAGGGGAGCTGAGGAGGGGAGGCAGGGTTAGGGGAACGGCAGGCGCTTGTCTGGAGGCCAGGAAGGCTCCAAGGACTTAGACAGCAGCGGCACCAACGTACACGCTCCAGGATTTAAACCGGGATTTCTTGCGCTTTCGTTTTTGACCCTTTCCCTTTCCTCGAACTGATTTTCTGGAAAATATAAAAATAGAAACAGACAGGAAGAGAACGAGGGGGGGGGAGGAGAAGAACAGAGGCACAATGAAGAAGACAGAGGCAAGATCAGGAGGCCCAAGGCCACCCGAGTCACTTCCTGGAGCAGCCTCCAGGAAGGACCACAGGTACGGCGGGCTGGGACAACATACATCCTTCTCCTCGCTCTGCCCACCGTAGGGCTGTGGGCGGGCAGCAGAGACTATGCAAGGCACAGCCTCTAGGTTCACGTGGCCCCTGGCCCCAGGCAGGGCTCAAAGCCACAGGGGCAAGATCTCTGCCCAGCAAGCCGATAAACACAGTTAGACCCTGAAGGTCAGGGGGCTCTGTAAAGGGCTGAGCCAGGCTTTAAGGAGAAAGTCTGATTCAAAACCTTACAGCTGGGGAAACATCTGCCTTTGTCTCTAAGTGTGATAGCAGGGGTCCCTCCGGGGACCCCGCCTCACTGTGTCCTTGGTGCGAGGGGACAGTTACTTAGGAGACGGCACAAAAGCCAGGTAGGGCATGGGGGCACCAGCTGCCCAGCAGTCACCTGGGACAGGAGTTGGGTCTGAGTGTCCTCAGAGCCCAGCACTAATGGAGGGGCCGGGGGGATGAAGGACAGTGCAGCATGCGGGTGTGATTAGGGGCCAGGGCACTTGGCAGACATTCTTCTCTCCAGCTTGTCAGAGCCTGCCACTCTTCCGAGCCCAGGCGAGCCCTACCACTCTCCCTGTGGGCAAAGCAGGCATCTAGTGAACAGCTGAGAAGACAGGCTACTGCCTGCCACCCTCCAGGGAACTAGCACTCTAGGCCTGCCAGGTCCCAGAAAAGACATGGCAGCCTGTCTATCACAGGGAAAGAGACAGGAAGGGACCTGGGGAGTGGGCGAGTCTGTCCTGCTTGGGAGAAAGCCCTAGAAGGATGAAAGGAGAAAGCTCTCCACACAGGGATCCTCGCCTGGAGCACGCCCTCTCTCTCTCACTGATAAACTCCCAGACCATTGCTCTGGCAGACACAGTAGTCCTGGAATCTGGGGACTTAGGGAGAGGCATGAGGACATCAAGTCCCCCAAGTGGTAGGGCAGACAGAAAGGGATATGGGGGAAAGGGGAGGGAATGGGTGCTCTCTCTCTCGCTCCTTCCCTGCAAGTTCATTTCCCCATCAATGTCAGCCCCCCCGACCCATCCTTACACAACAAGCAACCGGAAGCCTCAGAAAATGGCCACCACACCACTTTTCCTACCCTACTGAGAGGGCGGAGTCTGCTACCTGCCCCACTCTTGTGGAAAGCATACACACACTAAGAAATCTCCTGGGACCTTAAGAAACCTGGACAGCCACAGTCACCACCGAAACAAGGCCAAGGCCACGTCCTCTGATACACAGAAACTGTCCTCCGACACCAGCTCCCTCTCCTTCACTCCACTGTGGGTGCAAGTGCCCACACCGCCACACCCACACCGAAACAGTGAGTGCTGGCCAGAAGGGACCTGAGCCCCGGGGGACAGCATCTTCTTCAGGGCAAAGAGCAGACTCCAGCTTGGATGTCTTCATCATCCTAGAGCCGCAGGCCGGAAGCTGGCTCCGTATCACTCTGGTCACCATGTCACCGTCACCATGTCACCAACCCACCCAGCGGCCCGACCCACTGAGGCCATCAGAGCACCCCAGAGAGGAAGCCGAAAGCCCCAAACCAAGACAAGAACGGGACAAAAGTGCTAACATGTGGCCACTTACTTTTCTGGCTTTGTTCTGTCTTTCTTTGGTCTGCAAAGGTAGAGAAAGGAGAAAGAAAACAAAACACAGAGGAATCAAGACGATGATAACAACAGCGGGCGGAATGACAATAAACCGGTAATAACAGGATGTTCATGATTTAGCAAACGCTATCTTCATCTTTACGCATCATAACCAAGTTGGTCCCTGTGACATTGTGGTGAGTACACGGAACTGTCGTGCCCATTTTCTAGATGTGGGGAACACACGTGAGGTAAGCACACTGAGGTCAGATGCCCAAGGTCACAGTTCGTCGGAAGGCCGACGTGGGCTAACAAGTGTAACTGGCTCAGCTCTGGGGCTCAGCTCTGGGGCAGGCCACGGCCGTGTGCTGCCTGAGGGGGAGGCTCTGTCCTCACCTGCATTCACATCTGCTATGCTGTAGGAAGCTCATCTCTCCTATGTGCTGGCTTTGGTGAGGTTTGATCCGCATGATCTGGAGAGGGAGGGAACAGATCACAGAGGTTAGTGACCCAGCCAGCCATACCCATATGGGACACCCCGGGGCTCCTGCCATTCAGCACCCAGGGGTTCTACTGAGCATAGGTGGTGGAGGTAGGGGGGATCAAGGCTCTAACAGAAAAGAGCCTTGGGCCACCCCAACTCCCCCAACCCTGCAGGCCTTAAGGAGTACCTGCTCTTGAGGGCAGACAGAGCTGCGAGGGTTGGCCAGGCTGGGAATTCAGGTCCTGGATTCTCACCATCCCAATCCCTTCCCCTCCTTCATCCCTCCCAAGCTTCACCCTAACCCTTATAAGCTACCTAAGAGCTACCCACCCCATGTCACTCAACTCCCTCCCACTCTCCACCCTGTCTGGGCCCAGATCCACCCATCACTAGGTAGCTAAAAGACTGGCTTTTAACTCTGCAGTTCCATCCAGCTTCCCAATTGGAGCCCTCAAGCAGGGAAAGCTTTGGAGCCGCTCTCCCAGAGAAGGAGAAGGGCACTTGTTGTAGGCATCAGCCCCTGTTGAGCCGAGGGAGCAAGGTCATCAAAGCGGAGGACATGGTCAAACTGTCGAGATCTCGCAGGGGAGTGCGGAAAGGCAGCCATCTTCTTCCCCATTGTAGAAAAGAACCTCCAACCTCACCTCCTCACCCCCAAGCCCAATTCAGCTCCTCCTATCAAGAGTTTCCCAGGCGGAGGCCCAGACAACCTTCTAATGCCCCTCCTTGTGCCACCCTGCCCTCCTGCACCCCGTCCGTCCCCTACGCCACAGGCACCTACCTGCATGGTGATGTTGCTCTCCGAGGTGGGCACACACTCCAGAGCCTCGTCATTACAGCAGCCCCCGCACCTCATTAGGGGCACACAGGACGGCTTGAAGATATACTCTATCTCATCAGGGTACTCCTGGAAGATGTCCACCAGGGTCTCGATCGGACGGCAGTAGCTGCGCTTGTAGACGTCCATGAACTTCACCACTGTGTGGGAGGGATAACACATGAGCCCGCTGGTAACACAAAGATGGTCAGCCTCTCTCCCCACCTAGCTTTGCAAGACCGCTCCTCATGGCTTCCATATCAGGTAAGTTCTAAAAATCTAACTGAAGCACCTCCCTCATTTCTAGGTCCAGGTCCAGGGGAGGTGGCCTGCCATATCTGCCTCCCTTCCTCATTGTAAAACAAAGCAAGTTCCTGGGCCAACTACAATACCAGAGGGCAGTCTGAGTGTGGGTACACCTGCTTCCCACTTCCATCTCACAGCTATGGCCATAACACCCACCAGGCCAACAGCCACTCACCACGTACATGCTGGACCCCACGGGAAGTCCTAAGTCCTACTAAGTACTACCAGGACCTTATTTTATAAATGGGGACCTAGAGGCTCAAACGCCATAATTTGTCCCAAAGGCCACACGGCTGGTGAGAGGCCGTCAGAATGGGCTGTGATAGCAAAGCCTTCCACACCCACAACACGCACAACCACAGAAGCTTGAGGAGTCACCTCATGGTCGCCAGTCCCACCTCCCCAGACTTGAGCTGAAGACAAGTAAGTCGGCAGGTGGCAGCGGGCAGGCACACTATGCAGGTCCTGCCAGCACTCAGAACCCCGCCCAAGAGGGCAAACTGTTTGCATCATGGAAGAAACAAGAGCCACCTCTGTACAAAGCACTTCTAGAAGCTGACTCGGAGGAAGACAGGGGAGAGACAGCTTCCCAGGCAGCCTGAGGTACTTGTCAGCAGGAAGGGAATTCGGGGCCGAGGGGGCAGGTAGAGAAGCACAGGACTTCTTTGGGACACCAAATGGTGGCTCAGCTGGTCCCTCTGGTCACATCCCTAACACTACCCCACAGAAGCCTGCCCCTGAAGTGAGAGAAGAGAGAACACAAGCCCACGCGGGGCCCAGGCTCTGCCAGCAGCTAGTGTGACCTTGGGCCTGTCCCTCCAGTCTCTGGGCCTCCAACTGGCTATCTGGAGAAGCAGGTTGGCCTGACCTCTAACGACACTTAAGTGAGCACGAAGGTGGGGTTCCGTCTCTCTTTGCTAGCCCTGAAAACAACTCTTCTTTTCTCATTCCAGGTGACAAAGTTTGGAACGTCACCAAGGCATTTTAAGTGTTCGCTCCGGAGACTACACTGCCCCCCTTCTTCTCAACCTAGGGCCACAGCCAAACCTCCCTTGGCTCTTCGTGGGTTGTTTTTTTTTTCCAGAAAGGTAAAGAAGATGGGACCCAGGAGTGTGATAGGTTGACTGGGGAGAAACTGGGGCATCGAGGGAAAGGTGGGGTGATGTCCACAGATGTCAAACAGGAAAAGGAATGGGGGTGACCTAACTGCCACTACCTGCCTTGCTCAAGGGCTCTCTTTTCTATCTGGACAAACAAGCACAGAATTCTTGTCTATCCCCCAAAAAGTCCATGAGATCAGATCTGAAAAATTCTTTTCAAGCCAAGTCTGTATAGAAGATGACTAACCCAGAATTTTTTTTCAACTGACTCTTCTTCATCTTGGCTGGGGCAGAGGTGGCCCAGGTCCGTTAGTGACCCCACACAGGAGCAGGTAGCAGAAAGGTATGACCCAAGCAATGACTGGGGATGGGAGCTGCAGGTAAAAGGGATTCTAAAGGGCCACAGGAGGTGGTGGACATGCCTTGGCCAGGACCCATGGGAGCCTGGCCCCTGCCCCCAAGGAAAGCTGTCCTGCTACTCGGGACGTGTGCACACATACACTCCAGCATCAGGCTTTCGTGGTTTTCCTTATTTATGGCAGACAACCTTTTCTCCATCAAACAAAGACCATTTGTCTTGCCTCTCCCAGACCACAGAGCCCACTAGGAAGCAGAAAGGGGTGGGTAGCACTTTGGAAGTGGGGGCCTGTCAGTGGCTAGGGCCAGGGAGTGGCAGAAAGCCAGGCCCTGGGCCAGAGAAAGAGCTCCTGGGGGAGGAGGCAAAACCGGCTGGACATCACCAGCCTTCCTTGGCTGGCTCCAGCAGCCACACTGGATTTGGGTCAGGGAAATTAGCCTAGAGGAAGACCCCAGGGCCTTCCCTACACAGAGGAAGGACACTGGGGGAGTGGCATCCGGCTGGAGCAGAGGCCACACTCAGTGCTGGGGAGAGCCAGGGCGTCCCCCAGAGAAATGGGAGGATCCCGGTACTCCAAACCACACTGGAACAAAAGGCAGGCGGACTCGGGGTTGGGCAGGGGGGCGGGGCGCCTGAGAGCTACAGCCGGCCCTCTGCTGGTCCTGCGGGGAAGTTCACAGCACCCAGTCTATGGAAGCTGCCATCCTCAGAGAAATGCAAACCCAGGGCTGGGCAGTAATTCGGATGTCCTCCTATCCTGCCTCCAGCTCACACAGGAAGAGTCACAGCCCCCACGGGTGGGCCATGGCTGAGTAGGAAGTGGCACTAGACGTTTATCCTCCCCTGGGAGTAGGGGATACAAGGGATACCTCCCTGAACATCTGGAAACCCTGAACATTACTACCTTCCTCATCTGTGGCTCACGGCAGCCTTTCCAGATAAATTTTTACTGGAAAGGGCATTAGAAAAAGCAACAAGTCCTGTTTCTAGCAGAAAGCCGAAGAGAAGACGCCTTAAGAAACGCAAGAGTTAAACCCACAGTATCCGTGAAATCTTGATCCTCATATTCCTGCGCCCCGCCCCACCCCCAAGTCTGAAAAGGAAGAGTGGGACTTATCCACGCACCCTCGAGACAAGGGGAGGGGTCCAATCCGAGAGCATGGGGACTCACCTTCGTGGGCTTTCTGCTCTCCTTCTGTCGTGGGTGCAGCCTGGGACCACTACAGACAAAACAAAGAGTAAAAAGCATTGGCAGGGGCAGGGACAGGGACAGAGGCAGCCACAGGCGTGCAAAGGCCAAGCCCCTGAATCCCTTGACCCCCTCTCGCCTCTCTCTCAGCCCCCAGCCTCCAGCTTCTCCATGGCTTCTGAACCAAACAGGTTAGAGTCAGGGGCCCCACAGGTCCAGAGCATACCCACTACCCCTGCACTGCCTCAAGTCTGAACCCCTGAAGTTAAAGTCTAACCAGGTGCTGGGGAGCTCACAATTCAGGAGGGAAATACCAGAACCCTGCGTTGTCCAGGCCCCTAGCACCTCTCCGTTCTTGCCTCCTCTGTCTTCCCACTGCCCCTGATTCCCTGGTCCAAAGCCACGGGTAAGCAGAAGGTCAAACAGGAGGACAAGTTTGGACTGGGGCAGGAAGGAAGGACTAGGGACGAGCAAAACAACATGGTGACCTTCTCCTGCTGACACGACAAATACCAGGGTGAGCTGGTGCTGAAGAGGGAGGGGGTGCAGGGGACCGAAGGGCACCCACTACCCTCCCCCTCCAAAACCTCCCCAGGCCTCAGCAACAGCCCGCCAACGCCGCATGCCCACAGGTGGCTCAGGGGCTGAAAAGCCGGGAGGAAGGCCCTAAGGAAGGGAGTCCCGTTGTCCTCCCGCCCCTCTGCCCGGAGCCTGAATGCAGTTCCAAAGCCTGGCCAGCCCCGCCACATCCCCAAGCCTCTCGCCTAGGCAGAGGACTTTGCTCAAATGGAGCCATGAAAGCTTTCTTCTCCTCAGAACTGCCCAGTTCCAAGGGGTCTCTTGCTCCACCCTGGGCCTGAGCCCCCATCCTTCTGATCCCCACCAACTCCTTCCTCCCCTCCCCAGAAGCTGTGGAGGTCAACAAAAAGGCCATGTGGACCTTGCAACAGGGAGCAAGGGAAGGCTCCTACGCCTTCCTGAGGGTCTCCTGGTCCTACCAACTCCCCAGCCACATGTCCCACACCAACCTGGACCTCCAACTGCCCTGAGAAGGATTCCCATCCTTGGCCTGTCTCTCTCCTCCACCAATAGTCCCCAAATAGCAGTCTCTCCAGGGCCCTCAGCCTCGCCACCAGGGCCAAGGTCAGAGGTGGCCCTTCTCAAGAGCTAGCCTCCCATTGCAGCTACCTCAGGCAGGCCCTGGATTCTGCTCCTCAGGCCCTCAATTACCAAGCTCAACACCCTCGTGACATTCTCCCTCAGTCCTCTATCTCAGCCCCAATGGAGAAAGGAAAAGAAACTTTGAACCCCCTCCCAGATGGGGAGGTTCTAGGCAGGGACTGGCCAGGTGCCCTTCTCTGGGGGCCTCTGAAGGTCATACTGTGGCCAGGCACTCCTGCCCCTCCTCCCCACATGGAGGCCCAGAGCCAAGGCCTTTGTGCCAGGGTCTGAGGAACTCTGGATGGTGGCAGGGACCCCTGCCTGTCTCCTTCCTTCTGCCCCCTCTCCAAGTAGGTTCTCTAGCTGAGTATTAGTGGGAAAGAGCATGAAAGGACCCCTTAATAAGCAAACTGGGTGGGCAAGTTCAGAGTTAAACCACCTGCTCTGTGAGCAGCGGGTTTTGCCAGGACAAAGTGTGTGTGGGGGACACTGACAGGCAATCCTGCCAAAGGTGTGGGAAAGGCTAGTTCCAGGCTGCCCCTGTCACAGCAAATATCAAGACATTTTTCCAAAAAGGGGAAAGCGGGGTGATGTCAGTCTACCCTTCACTGACCCCCATAAACGCTGGAGCACAGCTCACTAGAGCGGCTGGCGAGAGGAGGGAAATACACCAACCTCCACCGACTCAAAACTTAGGTTAGCGTTTCCACAAAGAGCCCGAGGGTGGGCCTCAGCACCCCCACGTCTGACAGTCACCATCCCTTGCCTGGACCCTGGGGTCAGAAACGGTTCTACGAGCCTTCTCCAAGAGAAGGAAAATATAAAAAGGGTGGGAAGGGCTTCTCTACACACCAGGCAGGAAACGGGGAAAACGGGAAGGGGCGTCGGGAAATTCTTCCTAGCACAAGGCACGGGTAGAAGTTGGGGTCGGAGGAAAAGGGTATGGGAGTTTCTCCGGGTCACGGAGCTGGGGATACCTCTAGAGGTCACCTTCCTTGCGGAGGGCCGGTGGGGGGGAGGGGCGCCGCTGGTCGCCCGGGTCCCCCGGCTCCCGCAGCCGCGGCTCCGGGAACACGAGGCCGGCCAGGCCCGGGCTGATGTAATCGGCTCTGCGCCGCGCGCGCCCGGCCGGGCGGGGGAGGGCGGGCACCGCGCGGGACGCGAGCGGGGACGGGAGGGGGTGGCGCAGCGCAGGTGGCCCAGCAAGCTGGAGGGGTGGGATAGGGTCCCCGCAGCAATCCATCCGAAAACTTTTCCCAAACTCACTGCAAGGGCCCAAGAGACCCGAGCGGAGTGACAGCAAAGCCCCCTCGGTCGCTCGCTCCCTGCCCCCTCCACGATCTCTGCCCTCCCCCGGTCCAAGGTCCGAGCACCCCCAGGCATGCCCGCTGGGCTCCGGACTCCCGCCCCCGTTGCCCGGACTTCCAGTTCTCCGGGGACCCGCGACCCGGAGCAAACTTCTGCCGCCAGCCACAGAGCAAGCCCAGCCCCCTCGGCCTCCTCCTCTGGCTCCCGCCCTCGGCTGCTCGGCCCAGATCGTACGTGCGGTGACTCTGGTGGGTGGGCAGGGCCCGCGTGGGCGGCGAGACTATCCTGGCGCCCTCCCACCTAGCGCGCACCCCCTCCCCCTCCACGTACGACGACAGAGGGGGACGCCTCGCGCCGGGTGCCCAAGGACCGGCGTGGGGCACGAAGCCCCCACGCGCGCGCTCGCACGCACGCACGTCCCCAAGCGGGAGAGGCGCTCGCCACGGCCCGGCGACACCAGGCGGGCACGACCGCTTGCTTACCTTGGCATGGTGGAGGTACAGCAGTAAAGCCAGGGTCCAGTGCACCCAAGAGAGCAGAAAGTTCATGGTTTCGGAGGCCCGTCCGGGGCCGGCGCGGCTCGCGCTCCCTCTCCGGCTCGGACTGCGAGGCAGCCCGCTCTCTTGCGCGCCTTGGCGGGCTCCTCTCCCTCCTGGAACCGAGGCCCGGGCCGGGGCCTGGGGCGCGCGCGCGGCTGGAGCACTGTCTGCGCACACGGCCGCCTCACCCGTCCATGAGCCCGGCTCCCGCGAGCCGAGCGCCCACTGCGGCCCCCTCTCCTCTTCCTTATCTTCCTCCTCTCTCTTCTCGGGCCCCGGCTTCTCCAGGCCCGAGCTAGCACTTCCCCCAGCTCCGATCGGTTTGCCTCCTCCGGCGCAGACCACGGCTGCTCCCGAGCGAGAAGAGCCCAGAAGTTGGACGAAAAGTTTCAGTGCAATCCCGCGAGCCCCGACCCCCTCCACCCCGCCTCCGGGCGCAGGCTTCGGCTCCTGCTCGCGGCTCGCCGCCGCGTCCACCGTCGGCAGCCCGCCGGCGAGGAGGTGGGCGCTGGGGCTGGGGGCGGTGTCTGTCTGTCTATCCGTCAGCGCGACTGGTCCGATGCAAGATCCCAAGGGGGAGGGCTCACGCCGCGCTCTGACGGTCACCCCCAAAAGCAGGTCAGTCACTTTGCCCCTGTCCTTCTCTCCGCTCGCTCGCCAGCGCGCTCTCTCTGACCGGTCTCTGGCTTCCTCGACTTCCCTCTGGAGCTCTTTTCTCTGCTGATTTCCAAAATCCGAAGTGATTTGAGGGAGTGAAGGAGCAACCTCCCCAAACCGTTGGCACGATTAAGACGGGAATAAGAAGCAAAAATAAATTAAAGCGCAAAACAATACAGTTTTTAAAACGTTTAAGAAAAAAAAAAAGAGGTTTGAATATCAAATCCCAGCGCGGAGACTCCCTGGCTGGTGAGTCCGCTGAATAGTCTCTGCCTTGTCGCTGCGTCTCGCGACAGAGCTCCGCTGCCGCCGCTCAGCTCGCCCCCAGCGCCACGGCCTCGCTGCAGCTCGGCTGCCCCAAGCCTCTGCGCTTCTCACCGCTAACAGCGGTGGAAAAAAAAGGGGGTCTGGCCCCGCCCCCAAATGCCACGCCCCAGGCCCGCCCCGGGGGCGAGGCCAGGCTGGGCAGGCACCGCCTTCTAGGAGCCCCTAGGCCACCACTGAGAAGTGGAGAGCTAATACCCCCACCAGGGTTCACAGCCTGAAAATTATCCGTGCACCCCTTCAGACTGGGTCCAGGGGCACATTGGACACACTGGGTGTTGGGAATCAGGGGAGACACGGGAATGAGGTTATGTGCGGACAGGGTCTGAGAGCAATACCCTTTCCTGGGATTATTGGAGAAGGTGGGGGGAGGGCGGAGAGCTGGCAGGGACCCGTGGGGAGAGGGACACAGATTTGTTGGAATCCTGGAGTGACCCCTGGTCTTCTCCCCCACCTCACATATAACACACACACACACACACACACACACACACACACACACGAACGCATGCACATTGACACACGCGTCCTCCCTCACGCAGACTGGCTCGCCCAAGTTCACGATCTCCCGGTGGTGGCCGAGCGCCCCCTAGTGACTACATTCTGCACTCCTCAACTCCGGCTCAAACCGCGCAGGTCTTGGGAAGAGGGTGAGAGTTGCCTCCTGAACCTAGCATTCTTTCTGCTTGTTTGTTTTGAGTTGTTGTTGCTGCTTCTGCTGTTGATGTTTTCCAGACAGGGTTTCTCTGTGAAGCCCTGACTGTCCTGGAACTCGCTCTGTAGACCAGGCTGGCCTTAAACTCACAGACATCCTCCTGCCTCTGCCTCTGGAATGCTGGGATGAGTGTAGGCAGGCCTGCATACTTTGACCTCCCAAACAGTTGCATTTTTCTGACACCCCCTAACAGTTGCGTGTTAGACCTCCGAGGCAGAAATCTTGGTTTATTGGGGGGAGGGGGAGGGGCAGGATGCTTATCCGAGCCTTTGTCTGGTCTGCAGACATCAGGAGCTAGGGCCCAGGGGTGAATGGGGATCTTCTGGGAGGCTTCCAGGGAAGCTTCGCTGGAGAGAATTTGGCACGGACTTTGCAACCCTGAGAACGGGAAGCTGAGCGGTTCTGGGGTTAGTCAGTGGCCGGGAGGAAGAGGACCTGTGGAAGACCACGTATGCACTGTGGAGTCTGGCAGAGTCCAAAGGGAGAGGCAGCTGGGCAGACAGAGGCCCTTGTTCCTCCTGATCACCACCCCCTAGATGTTGCCCGGGAACTGAGGCCAGGGGGTTGATGGGGGCGGAAGGAGGCCAGGCCTGCGTGGTGATTCAAACCTACCCCAGCATTCAGGAACGTAGGTAGGCCAGCTGCCCAGAGCGGCCACGAGCCCAGGGAGGGATGAGGGTGAAGGCAAAGCTCTATCAGTCCTAGCTCAGGTTCACAGTTCATCTTAGGAACAGAATTTGGGGATATACTCAGTACCCCCCTTCTCCCTAGGGCCCTTGGCCTACCTCTCTGCTTACAGACTCACCCTTGTCTTGGCTCTGTACCCTTTCCACAAAGTCCCCCTCTCCAACTCCTTGTGTCTTCCTCGAGAGCTCCCCAAAGCCCCCACCCTTGGATATAGGAACCAGCCTGGAAAAATTCCTGGTTGGGCTTTGGCCCAGCTGTTCCCAGGCTCCCCTGGGAACAAGAGGGGGCTCTGATACCTGTGGGAAGAGAGGGACCAACCAGTCCCAACCCTCACCCAGATCTGCTGGGCCTCTGAGAATGGGAGCCCAGCAATCTCCCTGTTGGCCCGAAAAGGTTCCACCACCATCTTCAACCCTCTGCACACAGTACTGGGGCTTGGTGGGATCCCAAGTTACCTCCTGGGTACCCCGATTTCCAATGGAGCAATGTTACGGGGCTCCTATAGGGAGAGAAGCTGGCTCCTGCTCACCCCGTCCCATCATGTCCCTCATCTCTGTCCTGGGTGCACCTCCTGGATGGCCCTCTCTCAGCAGGGACTTTACTGTTAGTCAATGTTTGCTGACCCAGAGCCCTCCCAGGGGTTTCCTCATCTGGTCCATGACCATGCTGCTGAGGCACAGGGAAAGGAAAGACATCAAATGTCTCACTTGTCTGCCTCTAACATCCCAAGAACGCCTTGTCAGGGAGCCCCTCATCATGGTATAACAGAGGCTCTGGACACCGAGGACTCCCAATAGCCTGATCTTCCATTCCACTCATCACCACCTTCTACAGCACTGGTTCTCAACCCGTGGGTCATGATCCCTTTGGGTTACATATCAGATATCCTTCACATCAGATATTTACATTACAATTCATAACTAGCAAAATTGCAGTTATGAAGTAGCAATGAAATAATTTTATGGTCGGGGATCACCACACCATGAGGAACTGTATTAAAGGGTCGCAGCCTTAGGAAGGGTGAGAACCACAGTTCTACTGTCTTGGGAATGGCCATGGCTTACAGAACAAGGACTCATTAAAAGATCGGGAGGTCTAGAGGAAGATGAAGAGGCTTTGGGGAAAGGTAACCATCTGTCTCTACACAACTCTAGCCCCCTTCTATCCCGAGCCAGGTGTATATAACCACCATATAAGGCTCCCCGAGGGTCTTATGCTCAGGAGCCAGGGCAGTGATGGTAAGGATTGCCCTTTCCAAAGCACTAAGCCACGCTAAGACTGCAACTTGGCCTGAAGGGTTTTAAGTAACCCGTATCAGGGTAGGGATGGGCTGCTCACCTCCACCCTGCATTTTAGAGACACAACTTGAAGCTGAGTCAGAGGAAGGGTCACTTCTGGATTCCATATGAGCTGCACATTATCACCAACTTTCACAGTGATGCACTCTGTACACTGATATGGACCTAGAAAATGTCATGTCCATACTGTCACCAGATGAGAACTGGATGTCTAGAAAGCAGGGGGGAAGAAACAGGTCATGTGCTGTGTCCCACCGCTCCTGCTCATCCCAGAACACACTTCCCGCCATTCATCTTCCCTCCCCAGGTCACACTGCAGGATGAGGGACATCAGAGTGTAACAGGCCTGACAGAAATGAAGGTATTCTAAAGGGATACTTGTGTGTCCCAACCTATTAGACTATTTAACAATGGACCCCCAAAAGTGGGGATTTTCCCCACCAATCTCATGATGGCCAATGCAAATCAAACCAACCAGGATGAATCTTTTCCTGGCATCAGGGAACCAGAGCGAACAATCCACTAGGTGACTAGTCAGTGACATCTTCAGAGAATATCGTTCAGAGACAGAGAGGAAATTGTCAGAACAGAAATGAAGTCAGGCTGGGCATGGGAATACTTGCCTGTATCCAAACACTTGGGAGGATCAGAAATTAAGGACAGCCGAGGCTTCATGAAGAGACCCCGTCTCAGACCAATGGGATGGGGTTGCTCATGTCCGTCCTTCCAAAAGTAACTAAAGGCCAGAAGGTTATGAAAAATGGATCTTAGCATGGCCGCTGGCACCAACTGCATCAGTTCCTACTTACATTCTGTTTATTATGTTTATTTCATGAGGTGGGTACATTTCACCTTATGGTTGAAATGTTAAAACAAAAGGGGGGATTTTAACTAGCCTAACAGAAGATCAGTCTGGCTATCGGACTGTTGAAACAATGGGCCTTAATGAAATGGGAATTTCCCCACATCTCATGCTAGGAGAAGCAAAGCGCTCCAGTGAGAGGGGAGCCTGTCTCCAGGAATGAGACTTCACACGTTTCTAACAACTTGTCAGGCTAACCCCAAGAATGCTCACTGGTGGGCGGGACCACACCTTGGCCAGGACTGCTTGGATGTGCACATCTTTGGTCCTCGAAACTTTAATCACACTTCAGGACCTCAAGACAGACTCGTGGGGGAGTCACTGGATCTTTGCCCCTCTTCCCAGTGTGGCCATAGTGGCTAAGTCCTTTATCTGCTTCTGCGTCTAATCCGACTCTTTAATTGGTTATTGAGAATGGGTTGTCAGCTCTGACTTGGAGCACAGGTTGTGACACACACACACACACACACACACACACCCAAATTTGAAAAGATGAGCAGAGTCCTCAGAGGACCACCCCCATATGCTCTGAGAAGATACAAAGACACAAATTGGGGGTACAGTGGAGCCAAGAGGAGCCCAGACAGAATTATGGGAGGTCCCAGCTGAGGGAAGGATGGCATGACCAGCCACATTATAGCTCTGCACTTGGCACATAAGGCCACAGAAGAGAGACGAGGTAGGGGTGGAGAAGCCTGGGACTGACAGCCAGCAGCCTGCAGTGACCTCAAAGGAAGCAATGATGGGGCCAGTGGCACAATGGTTGTACTTTGCCCTGACCTGTCACCTTCAACATTCAGGGAAGTTTGGGGTTGTGCGGGTGTGGGCAGGTGATCTGGAAGCCTGTGGGTAAGTGGATGCAGCCACTCCTGGGGAGGGGAGCTGGCCGGCCAGACTGCAGTCTGCGTATTTTCTAGAAGAATTTTCACTGTGATAGAAAAAATTCCTTCTTTCCGTCTTTCCTCTTCCCCTCGGGTGCCAGCAGGACCCAGATCTACAGGCATAGGATGCTTAACTCTGGAGAGAAGTGAGGCGCTTCACCTAGTCCCCGCCTCTTGCCTTAAGATCAGTCTCTCCTGCCCCTCCCCCTCCTCCCCTCCTCTCCTCCCTCCCCTCCCCTTCCCCTCTCCTCCCTCTCCTCTTCTCCCCTTCCCTCCCCTCCCCTCCGCTCTCCTCTCCTTCCCTCCTGTCTCCTCTCCTCTCATTTCTCCTCTTTCTCCAAGTCTTTTCACCAAAGCGACA